TCTGAGATCCTTGCGTTCATACGGACAGACAGACGGACAAGGCTATATCCACTCGGCTTCTCATCCTGATCAAGAATATATATACTTTGTGGGGTCTACCACGCCTCCTTCTGTGTGTTACATACATGCGCACAAAACTAGTATAGCCTTTCACCCTTTGGGTACAGGCTATAAATATACATGTAACGAATACGGGGTTATCGAGAGGCAATGAAAATGTTGGTTCGGCATACAAAGCAGAAAATCCATGCGTTTCGAAACTTCTTTCAAATGGAGCTGATCAGCAAGCAGCGGCCCCTATAAAAATCGAAAGAGAAGGAAAGAAAATATCAAATCAATCGGTTAGCAATGTTAATGATAGGCTACATATATGAAAAAGAATGTTACGGGATGAAACGTTTAATGGAAAATTAATATGGGATGAGACTGTAGAAGATCAACTGTTATGTAATAAAACTGTTAATGAGCGACTGTTAGAGGGCGAAGCTGTTAATGAGCGACTGTTAGAGGGCGAAACTGTTAATGAGCGACTGTTAGAGGGCGAAACTGTTAGTGAGCGACTGTTAGAGGGCGAAACTGTTAGTGAGGGACTGTTAAATGCCGAAGCTGTTAATAATCGACTGTTATGTAATAAAACTGCTAGTAGGGGATTGTTAGATGCTAAGACTGTTAAAGATCAAATTTTGAATCAGTTAATGAGCTAATTTTTTGAAACTGACAATGCAGGCGTATCCATGATGGATAGCTTTGAGAAAGATATGTTTAATATTAACATAGTCGACAATCAAATGACAGATTACAACTGCGGTGAAAATGTTGATCTCGTAACAAAGGGTCGGTTTGTCAAAATGTTCGAAGAGACTTATTTAAATGCAAAAAAGCCAAATTGCCCGATGTTTAGGAGTGAAATGAAAATTTGTTTGGAAAACTCAAAACCTTTTAGATGTTCACCAAGACGGTTGTCTTACTCAGAGAAAGAAAAACTCCAGGCTATGCTAGACAATTATTTAGAAGGGGGAATAATACGGCCAAGCGAATCGGAGTATGCTTCACCCATTGTGTTAGTTAAGAAGAAGACGGGCGATTTACGACTATGCATTGATTTTCGTAAATTGAATAAAGTGCTAATAAAAGACAACTATCCAATGCCATTAATAGACGATTTATTAGATAGGCTCCTAAATAAAACCATATTTTCAAAATTAGACCTTAAAAATGGGTATTTCCATGTGTTTGTTAATGAAGAATCGGTGAAATATACATCCTTTGTAACTCCACTAGGCCAATATGAGTTCCTAAGAATGCCAATGGGGATAAAGAATGCGTCAGCCGTATTCCAGCGTTTTGTGAACAAGATTTTTGATGATTTAATTAGAGAAAGTAAGGTTATTGTCTATATGGATGACATCATGGTGGCGAGCACGAACATGAAGGAACACTTAAATACACTGGGGGAAGTTTTCACACGATTGATTCAAAACAAACTAGAATTACGGATGGATAAATGCGAGTTTATGCAATCGAGTATAAAATATTTAGGCTTTCGCATATCAAGTAAAGGCATAAGGGCAGAAGACAAAGGTTTAGATGCGATTAAAAATTTTCCAGTTCCTGATAAGGTGCAAACAGTCCAAAGCTTTCTGGGCTTGTGTTCATACTTCAGGCATTTTATTAAAGATTTCTCAGTTTTAGCCAAGCCACTATATGATCTTTTGAGAAAAGACAAACCATTTTCATTCGAGGAAAAAGAATTAGAATGTTTTTTAACTCTTAAGGACAAATTAATGCAGTCTCCTATTTTAGCCATTTACGATTATAGGGAGGAAGTCGAATTAAATTGCGATGCAAGTTCATTAGGTTTTGGAGCGGTACTCATGCAGAAAAAAAGCGATGGGAAAACGCATCCAATATTTTATTTTTCTAAGCGTACAACAGAGACAGAGTCAAAATATCATAGTTTCGAGCTAGAGACATTTGGCGATAATTTATGCCATACGGAGATTTCGAATTTACCTACACGGGAAACGATTAAAAATAGTCACAGATTGCAACTCTTTAACCCTTACATTGAACAAGGTTGATTTAAATCCTAGAATCGCTAGATGGGCATTGGAACTGCAAAACTACGATTATGAGCTAGTTCACAGAGCCGGGAGTAGAATGCAACATGTAGACGCTTTAAGCAGATGCACAAATATTTTGGTAGTGGAGACAAATAGTTTTGAGGACATCCTTGTTATCTGTCAAGCAAGAGACCCAAAAATTCAAACGATTAAAAAAATTTTAGAGAAAAATGAGCACAAAATGTACAAGATGAGAAATGGGATTGTTTATAGGAAAACAAACGACGATAGGTTACTCTTTTACGTACCGGAAGATATGGAAAGCCATGTACTGCACAAATATCATAATGAACTGGGCCATATTGGCAGGGACAAAATGATGGACATTATTTCGAGAAGTTATTGGTTCGCAAATCTTAAGGAAAAGTGCAGCAATCATATTGAAAATTGTCTGAAGTGTGTGGCATTTTCGCCAAAGAGTGGAAAAACGGAGGGACTTTTACATAGCATACCAAAAGGAGATAAACCATTCCAGTTAATACATATTGATCATTACGGACCAGTAGCTACAGGCAGGGCAAATAAACATATTTTCTTGATTGTAGATGGGTTCAAGAAATTCGTTAGACTGTACACAACGAAAACAACGAATACAAAATAGGTCATGAAAGCGTTAAGAGATTATTTTAGAGCATATAGCAGACCGAAATGCATAGTTTCTGACAGGGGTAGTTGTTTTACGTCCAAAGAGTTTGAAGAGTTTCTGACTGATTTGAATATTAAACATATTATGATAGCGACTGGATCTCCACAGGCAAATGGACAAGTTGAACGGATAAACAGGAGTTTAGGTCCAATGATTTCGAAGTTGACTGAACCAGATAAGGGCAGACATTGGGACTCAGTAGTCGAACAAGTTGAATACTCCCTTAACAACACACTTCATCGTAGCATTAAACAGATTCCAAGTAAGGTATTGTTCGGCGTAAAGCAGAAAGGTGATATATTAGACGAGCTCAGAGAAAAGTTGGATGAAGTTAACAATACGGTTTATAAAGGCAGTTCCAAAAGAATCAGAAATTAAGTTAAAGAAACCCAAGAACGCTCACAGTCGTACAATGAATTATATTATAACAAGTCAAAGAGAAAACCGCGAAGCTATAAAAAGGGAGACTACGTAATGGTAAAAAATTTCGATTGCACGGTAGGGGCTGCTAGAAAGCTGATTCCCAAAAACAAAGGACCACATGAAATAGCAAAAGTGTTGCGAAACGACAGGTTTCTGTTAAAAGATGTAGAGAATTTTCAAGTTTCTCGAAACCCATACAAGGGTGTTTGGAGTGTTCAAAACATACGACACTGAATAGGGAAAAGAAATTAATTTAAGAATATTGTATAATATCGTCAATAAATTTAGACATTAAGACACATATTGTAAAACATAGATATAAGAAAATACTGAAATTGTACATAAATTTAAGGAATATGTAACACACCGGGATCAGGAGATCCGGCTGTCAGGATGGCCGAGTTGTAGTAGGATAAGTATGTACATAAGAACTCTGGCAACTCTATCAGCTGTTTTCCCGATCTCGCTGTACCCTGTAGCTCGAGAAATTCGCTCGAGCTCAGTCTCTGACGAGTCACTGAATAAAGAAGACGTCTTTTGTAATTGTGCAGAGTGTTGTGTTTTCTACCACGTTTTGCCTTCCACAAATGTGTTAGCGTTTTTAATTAAAACTCCTGGAAAAACCAACCGAGCATTGGTTTTGAGGCGAAATTTGGGCGGAAGATATTTCTGTGGCACCCCTCTATATGTTTTTGTGCATTCCCTACATTCATTTACGTGAGTTTTGTGGCCTATTTATACTGTGTACATGAAATGTACAAGAGTATATTAGGTTTGCGCGAGTTGAAAAATGTACCAGGCAGAAGGAGGCGTGGCAGACCCCACAAAGTATATATGTTCTTGATCAGCGTGACAAAGCGAGTCCATCTAGTCCTGTCTGTCTGTCCGTCCGTCCGTATGAACACCTAGATCTCAGAGACTAGAGACACCAAATTTTACGCAAAGATGGCTTATGTGTGTACGTTGTGCAATTTTTTTGATTTTCCGCCCCCCACTTCCCCCTATGGGGGTTTTCCCAATTTTCCATTCGTATAATCGCCTATATCTCGGAGACTTTAAGACCTAGTAACACCAAATTTTAGTCCAAGATGCCTTATGTGAATACACAGAAATTGTGTATTTTGGAATTTCCCTCCCTCTCCCCCGCAATCCATAACTCCCGTATTTCTTGGAATTTCGAACTCAAATCCTAATACAGTTAGTGATTATAAGTCCAAATGCCAGCTTTCATATATATGTACATAACACCAAGCAGTGGCCGCAGCTGTTGTTGTTACTGCTTTGCTCAGGCACATGAGACATACACAGACACACACATACACGCATAATTATTCTACACATATGTACAGAGTATTTCAAAGTCGGGATACCCGACATTAGCTTCTATACTTGTTTTGTACTCGGTACACGAAATGTATCAAGTTGCATTATGATAGGACAATTTAAAAGGAAGTCAGGCCAATACCGTCCGCAGCTGTTGCTGTTGTTGCTGTAGGCACACACAAACATACACGCTTTACGTGAAAGCAGAGTTAAATTTATCAAAATTTTTTACTTGTTTTAAATTTTAATTTTCTAATTTCTGTAATTATTCTACACATATGTACAGAGTATTTCAAATTCGGGTTACCCGAATTTAGCTTTCACTTGTTTCATTCTCAAACACCGCCGGACTTGTAAGAACATATATGTATTTATTTTTCATCGACAAACAATGCAGTTGATGTACATACAAAAAAAATCAATTCAATAGTGAACTTAAACTAAATAAATAAAAAAAAGCCTATAAAAATGACAAAAATATCTAATAACGAATCCGACACGGTGGGGGAATTTTATTTGCCAAACGGCCAGCTTTGCCCCGATATATAGTATGTATGTATGTATACCACTTTTGGTAGTTTCAGCCGCTTTTGAGATCTGTGCTGTCTATATCAAATATAGCTTGTATAAAACAAGAATCATAGAATACATGTACAAAAATATTTCAGATGTGTAGTAGCCCGCCATGTTTTGATTGTATAACATACTATATAAGCTCTAGATGAGGCGTTTATGTAGTGTCGACAGGCATTTTGAGCGGAATTATATTAAATTTTGTTGCGGAACCCTTGGTACGTTTTTGGAGGATTCTACCAATATTTTGGGGTTCTTTAATTACGTGTTCTATGGCTTGAACAATGCGCTCCTCATCTTCATCGTTTCCAAGGCTATTCCCACTGGATTGTATTAGAATACACACCTCATGTCGTTTTTCCAGCCATCTCGCTATATTTTTAAGCCTCGATTCAAGGTCGTGGTTACTTATACGCGTGCTTATAGTTAATGACTTTTCAGACTTTTTACTCATTTTGTTAGTCACTAAAGGAAAATCGTCGGCAAGCATTTCCGCATTGGTAACCAATCTGAAATATAAATTTCGTTAACACGCATACACATACATATGTATGTATGTGTGTATGCACAAATGTTTTTTTAGGCTTCGCATGATATTAGTTACTTGTATAAGGACCGCCCAGTTTTAGCATTTGCATCAGTTTGTTCTAAGAGTACCAAATTCAGTCCCCGACGCCTTGCTAGCTTCTGCGCTTCCGCCATGGTCGTAATAATCAAATCTTGATTTTGGCCAATGACAGCTATTTTCATTGTTTGCGCATGTGATTTATTTTCAAATGACATTGCTTTTTTAGTTGGAAAGTCCACAGGACCAATTTTATAAGTGCGCAAGAAAAATGGCCGAAGCAAAGTCGACCGAGCAATGAAGGGAACACGCTGCATTTTTTAATCTAAGAATAAAAACATATACGTATTTCCTTAAAAATATACTAAATCAATTACGTACTCTAGTGCTGTGCGAAACATCGATGTAAAATCGATACATCGATGTTTTGCAATTTTTTCCAAACATCGATGTTTTATTTCCGATTTTCGATGTTTTTTACTACTTGAAAAAAAATCGCGGGAAAAGCTAGGTAAGTAAAAGCTAAAATTTGCATTTTTTTAATAAATCCCCTAATATAATACAGAACAAATTACTAATATTATAGATGGATATTGGTGTTGGCAGTGCTTGGAAATGGAGAAGTTTTTAAAAGAATCTAATAGCAAAGGTAATTTTTATCTTGCAGCTGCAGTCTTATTTGTGTATGTGTATTTTCATTATTTGTACATATATTAATATGTTGTTCTATGTAATGCAAACTCAACTGAAATGGATAAGGAACTTGAGGAAGGTGGTCCTAATAAACGGGCAAAATATGGAAAGTCAACTGTGTGGAATTTCTTCTTTAAGTCTAAGGATGGCAAGTCTGCTAAATGCCTTAAATGTGGTAAAGTGTATCAAACATGTGGCAATACCACCAATTGAAGAACTACCAACGACCTCAAGCTCTATTTTGTCGTTTATAGACAAAAAATACGAAGCATTTTATTTACAGATCTCAAAATATACTTCTGTACATTTCATGTACAGAGTATAATGATAAGTCCCTTAAGGCATGTATATGCAAGTACCTCTGCGTTCCTGCAACGTCCACTGAAAGTGAGCGCATGTTCAGCAAAGCTGGACTTATAGTTAGCGAAAAAAGGAGTTCGCTTAAATCAAAGAATGTAGACATGCTCATTTATATTAACAAAAATGAGTGGATCTCAAATAATTAGTCATGAATTATATTTTTTATGTTATGCTTTTCATTTTGTTATACTTGTATTCTTTCAATTTATGAAAATATTGTTTTGTTGTTTTATCTGAAATTAGTCATTAACTATAATTTTTTATGTTATACTTTCTCTTGTTTTTAGTTTATTATTTGAAGTTATAAAAATATCGTTTGTTTTAAACCCTTTTGTACCTTTATAAATAAGACAAATCAAAACGAAGTGCCCTATGTTGTATATTAATTTTTGTTTGAAAATTTGTTAGTGGAATTTCGATGCATCGATACATCGATGTTCTTCCCCCAAAAAAATCGAAACATCGATGTTGGTAAACATCGATGTTTCCCCAGCTCTAACGTACTCAATAGTAAACTGGTGTAGATGTAGTAGGGATTAGAGGTGGAGAAACATCGATGATACTGTCGATGCATCGATGTTTTCAATTTTTATTAAAACATCGATTGTTTGTGGGGATTATCGGGTTTCTCGCTTACATCTCTAAGAGATTGAAGTTTGCCGAGTAAAATAGGGAATAAACACGAAAGATACGTAATTGACGGCATTTTTATACTCTGTACATGAAATGTACAAGAGTATATTAGGTTTGCGGGAGCTGAAAAATGTAACAGGCAGAAGGAGGCGTGGCAGACCCCACAAAGTATATATATTCTTGATCAGCATGACGAGACGAGTCGATCTAGCCCTGTCTGTCTGTCTGTCCGTCTGTCCGTCTGTCCGTCCGTATGAACACCTGGATCTCAGAGACTATAAGAGATAGAGACACCAAATTTTGCACGAAGATGCGTTATGTGTGTATTCTATACGAGTTTGTTTTATTTTTTTGATTTTCCCCCCCACTTCCCCCCTATGGGTGTTTTCCCGATTTTCCATTCGTATAATCGCCTATATCTCGGAGACTATAAGACCTAGGAACACCAAATTTTAGTCCCACATGCCTTATGTGAATACGCAGAAAATGTATATTTTGGAATTCCCCTCCCTCCCCCCTCTACCACGCAAATCGTAACTCCCGTAATTCTTGGAATTTCGAACTAAAATTTTAGAAATACCCCCAGTTAGTTATTATGTGTCCGTATGCCTAATTTCATTATGATTGACCGATTTAACAAGAAGTTATAGCCATAAATATATCTGCTGATGCAGCGCTGCTGCAGCGCTGCTCAAGCGCTGCACGCGGCTGTTGTTGATGTTGCTGTTTGGTTGACTGCGAAAATGCTTACACAGACACGAATAGATGCGCATAGGCATACATACACTCAGACAGACGCAATTGCTATGTAAATGTGCAATTATACACCCTTTACGTGAGTTCGAATACCGAGAGAGGTAAAATCGATCAAATTTTTTTTTTATTTTCTTAATTTTTTTATTTTCTATAATTATTGTAAACATATGTACAGAGTATTTCAAAGTCGGGACACCCGCCTTAAGCTTTTTTACTTGTTATACTCTGTACATGAAATGTACAAGAGTATATTAGGTTTGCGGGAGCTGAAAAATGTAACAGGCAGAAGGAGGCGTGGCAGACCCCACAAAGTATATATATTATTGATCAGCGTGACAAGACGAGTCGATCTAACCCTGTCTGTCTGTCTGTCCGTCTGTCCGTCCGTATGAACACCTGGATCTCAGAGACTATAAGAGCTAGAGACACCAAATTTTGCACAAAGATGCGATATGTGTGTATTCTATACGAGTTTGTTTTATTTTTTTGATTTTCCCCCCCACTTCCCCCCTATGGGGGTTTTCCCGATTTTCCATTCGTATAATCGCCTATATCTCGGAGATTATAAGACCTAGGCACACCAAATTTTAGTCCAAGATGCCTTGTGTGAATACGCAGAAAATGTATATTTTGGAATTTCCCTCCCTCCCCCCTCTCCCCCGCAAATCGTAACTCCCGTAATTCTTGGAATTTCGAACTAAAATTTTGCAAATACCCCCAGTTAGTAATTATGTGTCCGTATGCCAAGTTTCACTATGATAGACCGATTTACCAAGAAGTTATAGCCATAAATATATTTGCTGCTGCAGCGCTGCTCAATGATTACACAGACACGAATAGATGCGCATAGGCATACATACACTCACACAGACGCAATTGCTATGTAAATGTGCAATTATAAACCCTTTACGTGAGTTCGAATATCGAGAGAGGTAAAATCGATCAAATTTTTTTTTTATTTTTTTATTTTTTATAATTATTGTAAACATATGTACAGAGTATTTCAAAGACGGGACACCCGACTTTAGCTTTTTTACTTGCTTTATTTTGTAAGTTAAAACCCTTTTTTAATAAATAGCTAAGGTTTAATTGGTAGTGTTGGCAGCGACCGTGGAAAATAAGATCTTTAACGATGGACAAACACATAAAAAGTTTGTAACTCACAGCAAAAGATAAAGCACATGTGCTTTACACATACATATGTACATACATACATATGTATCACATACATACATACATAGTTGTATGTATGTATCACATACATACAAGTATGTATCCTTCAGTTTGGCTTGTGGCAATTGTCCGCTTTGGGCTACCCATGGACCGGTCCAAAGCTTAACCAGTGTCAACACCAGTCCCTTTATGAAGGCAGCGCCATACCGGTAGGACACGAAAGAAACGATTTGATGCTCGTGCGCTGTGTTCGTCATCAAGTCACAATAACTAATATTAGACAAGACTCGCTACTTTGTTCGCTCGTCTAATTACACCAACAAATATTAGGGAAATGACTTTGTTTTTATACCCTGTACCCGTAGGGTAAAAAGGGTATATTAGGTTTGTGCAAAGTATGTAACATGCAGAAGGAAGCATCTCCGACCCCATAAAGTATATACTTGTATATTCTGAATCAACATGACGAGAAATCGATCTAGACATGTCCGTCCGTCTGGATGACCGCAAGGATCTCAGAAACTATAAAAGCTGGAATAACCAAAGTTGGTATCCAGATTCTCCTAGATACGAAAAAAAAGGAGAGTTTATTTTATTTTTTTAGAATTTTTCCTCCCTTTTCCTGCTGGACATTCTTGGACCCATTTTGGCAAAATGCAAGGCAATTGTTACCTTTATGAAACGCAGCATACGGCAATGGCAAAATTTAAACAGGCACAAGATGTTGAGAACCCGCTTGGCTTGATACTGGAAGTGCCAACTCGTTGGAACAGTGCTTTCGAAATGATAAAACACCTTTTAAAGACCAACGACGTATTATCTTCCGTCCTTTTGAGCTGTACGGCCATTATTCCAATTTCGTGCGTGTTCGTGTTGACTCAATAAAGCACGAAAAGACACAAACGTGAAATTGGAATAGAAACAAAAACAACACAACAAAATATAATTTAAAGTTAAGAAATACTCTAATATTTATTCCAGTTTTTTGCACAAAGTCTATCTTAAAACATTGTGAAAAAAGCAAAGGATTTGGAGCGCATATCCAAAAAATAACAACGTTAGTGTTAGCCAGATTTGCATAAAATTAAAAATTAAAATTACGAAAAAGTAATATTATGTACATATGTATATCGGTCCTTAAAATTGGATTACCATATACACATGTATACAAGCATAAATTAAAAATCGACATTCTCCTAATTATTCGATTTACAAAGAAAAATTTGTGTATCCATTCACCGTGCATACGGATTCGTGATTTCTTACAGCCAATTACGCGATCGCGCTGTGACGGGCCGAAAAAAGCCGACACATGCCCATCTCAGCTGATCGCATATTTCCAAGCAATTTACCGTTTGTGTTAAAAGGTTGTGTCAGCTAACAATGCTAAAAATGTATTCTGAAAGCTTCTGGGAGACATTAAGCGTTAAGCTTATTCCGTGAATGCCTTTTACACTCACAACATTCATATTCAAAAAACACATATAGATAAGCGTTGAACTGTACAATTGAATACATACTTACACTTACATATATGTACGTATAGTCAGGATCAGTCCCACTTTTCGGGAATAACTCGACCATGCGTGCAGCATGCTGAGGAATGTCAGACGAGTTGCACTTATAAGTGAGGACTGTATGTATGTCGGTGTTAAATTTTACAGTGTTTAATTCTAGAAGGTACTAGCCCTCAATGTCACAATCT